ATTATTCTCATATTGCTTCATCAATTCTTCACGAAGTGATAAAATAAAATGTTTGTATTTGCAAGACCAAAGACCAATATAATGTCTAAGATGAGTAACGGCCATACATTTGTTTTGCAATATGCAGCCTGATTTTTGGTGGCGACGAAATCACAAAATAGTTTGCACATGCTTGTGTGAGTAAACACAACTCACCAGCAAGCAATGCACTATGGGGCATTTGACCACCTGGGTTGGCCAAAACCCATTTTTTAAAAGTCGTTAAAACAAAAAATTTTGTTTGAGGATGTGTTAACAGAAGACTATTTAACAATGTTACGTTTACAGAAATCCGATAGAGGTCGCCTCTGTTAAGTTAGAAGCTGTTAAATCAGCTGTTTGAAGTTCAATTATCGGGCTGTTGTATTTCGACTTTTTGTATTTCGACTTTTAAATTTGAGTTTTTAAGCTATCTAAGTAAACTTTATGATCGGATTTAAAGGACTATGCTATGTACTAAGTAGTTGTGTGGTTAGACGACAAAAATCATGCGGTTTTTTCTTATAAATGAGTGTTAAAGGGAATGGTCTAACAAGTACATTTTCGTAAGAAGACTAAATTTCAAATGGAGCAACAAAGTGAGTCCAGCGGAGTCCACTTCTGGAACCTATTGGGATTTATAGATTATTTAATTGTTGTTAAAGTGTATATGGTCAGAATCGCCACTTATTGCGATTTTTTCTGTAATTTAAGCAAAAATGAGCAAATATGGGTAATTGTATGGCAACAAGGACACTTTTGTGGTTAATTCCTCGCTTTTACTTCTTTGCAACTCTGTGCCATTAAGAAGTTATACTCCACAAACACAAAGACAATCGCTAGCTCAAATCTATAAAGATACACATATAAGACAGTTCACAGGTGGACAACGAGACACATAAAACCAAACATTTAAGCTAATTTACATTAACAAATACCTTTGCAAGGAATTTCCATTTTCAGATTTATGAAAGTCATCTTTCACACCACACAATTAACAAGCAAAGGAAGCTAATTTTTCTCTCAATTTTTCGACATTGCTAGGTCTCTCTATCAGGCAACTTTGTTGCAGTGGCAGAACTACAGATTTCCCACCAAAAATTTTTGGAACGCGATTTTCTTCAAATGAAGATGTCAAGAATCGATTAGTATGATCCATTCATTAAAATAAATTATGAAAATAAATAGGTTTATGCACCAAAATTGGGATTTTTACCCATAGTGCACTGGTGGCTAAGGAAGTAAGGACTTTTCTGGCTTTAAATTATTATCAAAAAAGAGTAGAAATACTTTTTAATTGACTAACTTAAGGCTTTAAAACGAAAGTTCCGCTACAACTTGAACAAAAAGTCGTAAAAATGTAGAGTAAATTCTTTGCTTTTCTTTTTGAGAAATTTAGGATATAGTCGTCCGATTTGTACGAAACTTTTAATACTGTTTTATAAACTGACATAATTGCTATTTCTAAAGTTATGTGCATTTATCTCCAAAAACAGCAAAGTTAATTTGTTTGTTTCTATGGCAGCTATATGATTTAGTTGTCCGATCCGGAGATTCTCATTTATAACACAGGCCGACAAAATGTGACATGGGTCGATGTCCAGGCCTGCCACCATTTTATTTCGATAAATGAGGCTTTTCTAAGCATAAGTTGTCACTACGCCTATAGTCCATCAGCTCTGGTATTTGCGGTATCTTTAATTTAAGAAAATCACAAATTTTCTTCGTCTTTTGGGATATATCTTCAAGAGTGGTCAACCAATTTTGGTAATCTTTTCGGAATTAAATAGTTACATGTCTCTTTTATACGGTCGTTTTGGAAAATTCAATCTAACTGAACCACAAGAGAAGGTGGGTGCATTTAAAATTTTAAAATCACAGCAAAGTTTAAAAATCTTCATTTGTGAACAGCGTTTAAAAATTAAATAAAAATATTTTCTTCTACAATGCATTTTTGATCCAAAGACACCTTATGTCCCTAATTTTTAAGGACACTCATCAGGTTTTTGTGTATTGTTTTGGAATTTTTAAAATTGTTTTTCTTACTTCCTTCACAGTGACGATTCACAAACAGTGCCCAAACCTCTGAACGCTGAGATCTTGGAAACTATAAAAGATAGAAGATTGACATTTTGCATGCAGATTCTAGGAGTTCCTACGCAGCGCAAGTTTGTTTCAAAAGGGTGCCACGTGTTGGGTGTGTTTATTAATACTTATCGAAATGTAGAAGAAATTTTTTAAATCGGACCATTCGTTAAAAAGTTACGGCGGATCAAAGTTTTTATCTCCATCTCCCTCGCACTCCTTTTAGCTGAGTAACGGGTATCTGATAGTCGGGGCACCCGACTATAGCGTTCTCTCTTGTTTTTTATGCAGTTTCAACCATATTCGCTCGGGACATGTCGCTCGGGACATTTTTATACCCTTGCAGAGGGTATTATGATTTTAGTCAGAAGTTTGCAACGCAGTGAAGGAGACATTTCCGACCCCATAAAGTATATATATTCTTGATCAGCATCACAAGACGAGTCGATCTAGCCATGTCCGTCTGTCCGTCTGTCCGTCCGTCTGTCCGTCTGTCCGTCTGTCCGTCCGTTTCTACGCAAACTAGTCTCTCAGTTTTAAAGCTATGGGGATGAAACTTTCGTAAAAGTCGTATTTCTATTGCAGGTAGTATATATGTCGGAACCAACCGGATCGGACAACTATATCTTATAGCTCCCATAGGAAGGATCAAAAAAAAAAAACGTAAAAAAATTCTAGCTCCGGTGTTTTTTGAAATTTTACCTTTTACTCTTGGGAATATTTTTTTTATATATTTCTGAATTTCGATTTTTTTGTTTTTTAAATCGGATCACTATATCATATAGCTGCCATAGGAACGGTCGAAAAATTAAATGGAAATTAATGGGAAAAAAATTATATCTTTGTTGGTTTTTATTACATTCCCTTCTACTCTGGGATATGACTATTTTGAAATATTTCCGAATTTCGATTTTAATTTTTAAAAAATCGAACTACTATATCATATAGCTGTGATAGAAACGATCGAAAAATTAATGTGAAATAATAAGAAATTTAACATTTTTGTGATTTGTAAATTAATAGAATGATCTGCAAGGTTATATAAGCTTCGGCTTGCCGAAGCTAGCTTCCTTTCTTGTTTTCTTAGCGTTTTGTAAAGTGTATTTCTTTACCTCTATCCCTCAATTACTGACTGTTTTGCTTTTAACTTAATGGTTTAACATGTAAATGAAGCATTCAGTACAAAAAAATGTCACATACTAGCAGGGACTGTAAATAACAGTTATTTGAGACTTTTATTTTAAAAGGCCTACTGAGATTTGTTCAATTTTTTATCAACAATTTTACTGGTTTTTATGCACTTTATAGACATGGACAAATAACAGTTAATTTGCTTTCCAGATTTGTTGAAATGCATATGCTTTGTGGACAAGAGTAAAAAGAATTTATTTTTGACGTTTAAAACAAAATATCACAGTAGTCTTTTTAAAATAAAAGTCTCAAAAAACTGTTATTTACGGTCCCTGCATACTAGCATTCCTAATGGATAAATTAACAACTGAAGAGAGGTCCAAAAAAACCCAAAAAAATAGCCAAAAACTGATTTTTGTGTATATTGGTGGAGTTTGTCATAAAAATAATCAAACTATACTCCAAATTTTTAGTTAAGCTCAGGATCAAACTATTTAGAAACTAATATCGGGGCAAAATCATGTGGAAATATGTTTTATTCAAGTTTCAAGATTTTTGGCTTGGTGGACCTTTTGGTGGAAGTGCCCATATATATTCTTGATCAGGGTCAGCCGAGTCGATCTAGCCATGTCCGTCTGTCTGTCTGTCCGTCTGTTTGTCTGTCTGTCTGTATGAACGCTGAGTTCTCGGAAACTACAAAAGCTAGAAGGTTGAGATTTCCCACACATATTCTTGGGCTTGAGCTTTTGTAGACCCCAAGATTTCCAATATTTATTTTAGGTATTTAAGACAAATGAAAATGCACCATGGAAAAATTCAATCAATTTTGCTTCCCTGAAGGAATTAGAATTTCTGCGGCCATGGCACTTAGCACGACTACTGCAGAAAATCTCCAGGCGAACGGGTCTCCTGGCAGTCATTTCGGTCCAAAGAAGCTATCAAATGTTGCCGAATGTTGACAAATTTCTTGCCCTTGGGACTGCTGATGACACAGGGACCGAATAACAAAATACAGCGCCAAAAATAATCATAACAGAGCAAATTGGCGATAAAGGCCGCCAACGCAAATTCCCTTAAACAGCAGCAAAATTAAGATTATATTGGGAAGAGGGATGCCGACGAAGTACGCAAGCAGGTGGCATAAAGCGAAATGGGTTTGATTTTAATCAAAATAATGGGCTGCGACACCGCATGATGACGTGTATTACTTAATTAAATAATTTGTATAAATTGCTCCTTCGCCCCGTGCACGCAAGCACCCACCGGAATTCCTTGTCCCGGGAGGAATCTCTGACGGATCGAGTAAACAATCCGGGCATTAGCCGTTATCACTCGATATCTTCCGGCTGGTGCGTAAAGTTTACAAGCGGCGCAGGGACACAAGGACGTCGAGCACATATGTATGTATGCCCAGAAATTAGCGAGGAATAACCTGTCGCCGGTTCCGTATCCGTGCGAGGTGTATCCGAACATGAAGCAATTTGCTTATCAGAACACCAGACTGCTAGACGTATGCCTATGGAATACAATGCACATGTGAGAGGGGTACCCTCGCCTAGCCGTCGGGCGGATACGCTCACTCCCAGAATGTCGTCCCTGGGCGCACGGGGAAAGTTGTTATTAGCCAACAATTTGGCTGAAAGCTTTCGGGAAGCAAGCTCTCTCCTGGTTTGGGGGTCAACTGTCAAAACTGACAGAAGTGGGCTCACTCGCCGTCGTTCTCTCTGCGTTGGGGGGCTCTCTCTGTGCTCTCGGCGTGCGTGTTATCGCCACAAACTTTACACTGACTAACGGTCTGGCGTTTTGGGCAGTTAATGTAGTTCCACCCAGCAGCGCCACCGTCATCGCCACAAAGCGAACTTTTCGGTTTGTATACAGGCGCCGCGTCGAGTAGCAATTAGTGAAATAATTCTAAGTGCCGCGTGCATTTCGGTGGGAAAAATATCCAAGTTTTATAGTTCTCGGTGCCCTGTCTGATTTAGGTAGGCAGTTGATGAAGTCGGCGAGTCCTACTTCCTCTGAGATGCCAAGGACTCCGTGGCCCGTATAGTTTTCCGCGGCGTCCCCCCGACCCAGGACCCATTCTAATAGCCAGTGGGCTTTTACCCCAGCGTCTGCAATGCCCTGGTGGCCAGGACGTGACTGTCATTTTAAGCAGGGAGCGTCGCTCTGCGGAGCCAGAAGTAATAAGCAATTTGTGGCGGAAAAGTTATATCGCGCTGCGCAGAAAGAACTGGTTGGAATATAATTGATTGGTATATAAGCTGAAGGGAGAGCGTCGGATGCAGAAGGAGTCCCCCCAATCGCACTTACTTTCACCAAGCAGTCTGGAATCGCCAAGAAACTATAATTGATTGAGTGGAAAACAATAATGCCCCGCCAGTGGCGCTGGCATGGAAACCCTCGGATTTGTGTCGCACTAATTAGATGTCGGGAGAATTCTCCTTCGCAAGACGTCCCCGCTGCCTTGGGCCATCGATGCACTTGCGACGGCTTAGGCTTAGGCCGACCGCAGTTCGCCGGTGGAAGGTTGAGCGGACGTGGCCAGAACTTTGCAATTTCCTTCTTTAAAGCTCTGTGCTTCCGATGCTGCCTTCCTGTCTTTCCTTCTTTTCTTTGTCGGCTCTACATATGCAAACAAACTGGACTGGCAACTGACAAGCGAACAAAGGCTGCTGTGATGGGCTGTGTGTGCAGGGGTGCGGATGGTTCCGTTCAGAGTGATGATAATGACTCGTTAGCTCAGGCCCATACGGCAGATGGAGCGTCTTATCAGTAGCGCCTGCCAGAAAAATTACGGAAACTCGCATTCGACTGTGGCTCGAATCAATATCGAGTCTCCGTCGCGTTCTGCGCAGGCGCCAGCGCACAAATGTAGGCAGCGCTTTTGGTACTGATTTCAAAGTCAAAAAGTCAAGAGAGGGAGAAAGAGCGAGACAGAGAGGGGAATCGAATTATGTAACGGACAAAAGTAGCAGAAGATAAATATATTATTAGTCGCAGCGAGAGGCAAGGAGCCAAATGGCGTTACATAAAGATGTGTCGGTGGGCAGGGGAACGGGTCCTCTCAGCCCTCATAGTCCTATGGTCCTGCAGTCCTACAGTCTAACAGTCCAACAACAACAACAGAGGGCTCTTGCGCCTTAAGCGCTCTTCCATTGAACGAGCCCCTCGTGTTGTTGTCCTTGTCTAAGCACTCGTCCCACTCGTTTCCTCTCGGCGACCCGAACCGTGAAAAGCACTCAAGCCCGAGCCCGCAGAATTCCGGCAGGGGCCAAAGCTCCGTCCCCTCGGCGGGCTCTTTATTGGATTTTGGCGTTTTGGCCGCAGCCGCAGTCGGCGCCAACGTCGCTGCCTCTGCCGACGTTTCTGCCAGTCGTTTCGAAAGCGGTGCCGCGGCGACGAGCCGAGTTTTCCATGTAGGGAACTCGGCAGTGGCGTGCAGAAGAGTGCGAACATAGCATGAAGTAAGAAGCGCCGAATAAAACATAGCGACGGCCTAGGTGAAAAGTGGAAAACCAAAGCAAAAGTATTAAGCACACACACACACACACAGAGCGTACGCACACACCAGCAGGCGAGTGCGGAGTTGAGCGAGTGAGCGTGTATATAGAGGCCTTGTGCACATATCACGTATACGTATATTATACGTATGTCGATACTGGCCCATCGTTGTATTTAAAAAAATCGACGAAAAGGCCCGAGCACGAATGAAAATCTAAATTGATTTAAAGAATTTATTCTATCGAGCTAATTCAATTGCTGGGCCAGTTGACTGAGTGCTCTAGTGCGAGCGCAGCTTTATGTAATCAGTGAAAAAACGGAACACGGCCGTCTGCCAAAAGAACTCGACTCGGCGTAGCGTGCCCAGCACTCAAAATCCAATCGAATTTGTTTGCTGCGCGTGTTACGTAAAGTAAAAATCTTGTTTGTTCGCGGCACCCGCCTCTGCCGTCCCCCGTTCGGCCCTTCCTTACCACGGGCATAAAGGGCACTTACGTGTACGTTCCCATAAAAGAAACCCTAATAAAGAAATATCGATAAAAGCAACAAAGCAAGTGGCACGGCAGCACAATAACAGCGACGACAAGAGAAACATCAGGAACAATGCGACCCCAGGGGGAGTGTGTGCCCGATATTTTTAAATTAACGCCAGGCCAATAGAATGTGGGTTGGGGCATCTGCCCACGAATCGATGTGGGAACGCTGGCCAGCGAACTGTTATCTCATGCTTCCTGTATCTCTGCTTGCTTTCAGGAACCCTGTCCGCCTAGTGCACGCTCTTCTCTGTGGACTTCTTTAAAACAAAATCACTAAGTCGCAGACTATTTCTAAACTTTGCTCCTTCAACAACAAAATCCACACTGCTAGCGCGCTCACGCAAGAATCTGCAGCGGAAATCTGAAAGGAATACTTGCTAAACTAAGCCCAGGTAAGTGAGTGACGGAACCAATCCGAAAAGTGTCCAAAGTATGCCTCGAGTATGCTCCAAACTTTTACGCATTTTACGTCAAATATTTGTGCAAAGTTTTCCGCACTTCGCACATTTCCCGCGTAGAGTGCTTGACGGCAGTAAAAAGCTCCAAGCTCATTACACAATCTTTCGGTCCCTTAAAAGTATACGAGTTGCAATATATTCTATTTTCTATATTCTATTCGATTCCGGGCCCCCACAGCTGGCCACTTTCGCAAGAAAAGAGGTCAAATGGTTAACCCAACTCGACGCATACTTGATATTTACCTGAGCCATCTTTGTTGTGGCGTATACTTGATGCCCGCTGACCCTTTTCTAGCTGGGGTCAAACAGCCATGAGCGCGGGAGTAGTATTAGGACACATTCAGGCAACAACAAAATATGCACGAGTGGGTCGAACATAGCTTATTTGCGTGTTTATTGGCTTTGGCTTTCCTACTGGTTTCCGTATTACAAAACTTCAAACGTAATTAGATAGCCAGCTGAGAGGTCTTTGGGTCAACTTGTGTTGTTTATTTGTACAAGGACAAGAAAGTGTTTCTTGCTTTTGTTGGGACCACACCTTCAGCCACCAGGCCATAAAATTCTAAGCACGAATCCCATAAATTTTCTCTTTTATTTACATATATTAAGTCAGGTATGTTCGTCCTGCCTGGCCGTTCCGCTCCTCAAACCCGTTTCTCCGATTAATTTCCATCTGAGTTGGGCGCCTGTGCCTCCTCTGCCCTGCTAGATGCTGGGGATCCAGGATAATTCTGCAAACTTCAAATGACCCGGCCAATAAGCAATTCAGCTGTTTGCTGACTGACTGCCTGTCACAGCCTGCCAGCTACAGGGCCGGGAAAAAGGACTGAAAGCCCTCTGCAGCATCAGCTTAATTCATTAGCTGGGGCGGGGAGGAAGGGAAGGCGGATCACAAGCCAGCGGCGAAATACCGTTCCTAACTGACACTGGCCAGGGAGTTTGCCCACAGCCCCCACTAGGCCCCCAGCCGAGCAAATGGTTTTTATGCCAAACTAATTTCGTTGCTCGTTTGCTGGTGTTGCTTTAATTTGCGCAGCTAGCCAGAAACAAGTTGCCGCCTCCGGCTTAAGTTCGTTAGCCCAATTTGCGCAAATATTAATACATGGTTACAAAGAGACAGACACCGAAAATACAGCAATAGGATACTCTGGGTTGGCCCTGGTGCTGCTCCCCAGCCAGGGGCGTTAATAAAATTGAAAATTTTTGGCTGGAGGACGCGCAGCCCACATTCATTACGGCATTATTGTGCTACAAGAGCGGGCCTGAGTTATTAGATTTCCCGAATTAAGTACAGCACCAGGGTACCTTCGAAAGGAGAGCCATAGCAGGAGGGGGAGTAGGAGCATCTGCAGTCGATGTCGATGTCGGCGAACGTTCAGTCTCGACTCGGGCCAAATCATGAGCTGGAAGCGAATCCCTAGCTCGGAGTGTGCAAGTCCGGTGGCCGCGAACGTTTCAACTGAACTACCGGCTCCCGTAATGTCGGATGGAGGGGAGTTGGACTTAAGGCATTTATGATAAGCGGCTTAAAGTATCAGGAAGGCCCAGGTGACAGGGCACTCCTTTGTCCAGCAAGACACCAAATTAATTTGCTCTTTTCTCTTTGCCCTGTCGCTTTCAGCTTAAGGAGGACATAAGATCCGGTGCGGACCGCAAGTGCATTGCCTCGTGCGGAAGCGGAGGACCCACAACAGGACCCATAACAGGAGCCACGCCCGTAGAGCGACAGCCTAAAAATGGCGGCCTTCATAGCTAAGCAAATGGTTGGAAACCAATTAAGTGCCGTTAAAGGTAAGTCGCGCTGAAAGCACCCAGCCCCGAGTCTCCCCTGAGCATTTTATTTTTGGTACCCGATCAATACACTTTGATATGGATGTGCGGGTATACATAATTCATTTTCAAGCTGCTGCGCAGCGACAAAAAATTACCACACATGAAAGTGGCCAACGCTTTTAGATACACAACAGGGTCCTGTCCGCCCTTCTCATCCCCATCCGCATACGCTTCCCCCATTCCGTCTTCAACCCCGCCCAGGCATTAGCTAAAGTCATTGAGTTCCCATTGCCGCTGCTGTTTAATCAGCGGCTGTGCAATCGCTCGGAAAATCATTGAATGCTTTCAGAAAGAGAAAAGACCGAAGGCGAGGGCGAGAATATTTAAGTTGAAATGCTTATCAACCGACAGCATGCGAGCCCATTCTGAGCTTGGGCATTTACATAGAGCAGCCCCCTGTCTGTGACATAATGTACCTCTGCTTGCCCCGGCAGTAATCTCGTTCAATTTGCAAGCGCGCTGCAGTGCCATTCCAAGGTTTGCCCCATCCGCATCCCCATCCCCATCCCCATCCCTATCCCGACCCCAAAAGCTGCAGCTGAGCTGAGCAGAGCACATTACCGGGTCTCTTATCGAACGCAAAAATTCTGCACGAATGCGCAGGAAAGTGGTTCCGACAAATTGATACAGTTAATTGTGTAGATTGATGCTGAATTTGTCACACTCCCTTGCCCTTGCCCAGAAGGAGCCTCAGCCAGAGAGGGTTCAGAGCCCGCAACTCAATCATTCCTTCGTCCTGTTTGTCAGGCTGTCAGCTGCGACTCAGTTCGAGATTGCGGCAAGTACGCCTGGCCATTAGGCTGTCAGGTCTGGCTGAGAAACACGAAAACGCTATTAGCATGGGCATAAAATTCGAAAAACCGATTCTAAGCCTACTGCCACTCATACGTTGGCCAGTTACCAGGATACTAAGTTTCAAATACTCTTCCCCCTTTCTTGTGTCCCAGCTTGAAATCTTCGCCTCCGCGACTACTTTTGGCTCCTAATGATGCAGCAAGGCGAATACTTAATTTACACCATAAAATGCGTCTGTGTGATGAAAGCGAATTAAAATATACTCATAACAAGAAAGGAAGCTAGCTTCGGCCAGCCGAAGCTTATATACCCTTGCAGATCATTCCTATTAATTAACAAATCGCAAAAATGTTAATTTTCTAATATTTCTCATTAATTTTCCGATCGTTCCTATGGCAGCTATATGATATAGTCGTCCGATTTTGATAAAATTAAAATTGAAATTCGGAAATATTTAAAAAGAGTCATATCCTAGAGTAGAAGATAATACAATAAAAATCAAAGAAGCTAGAATTTATTTCCTATTACTTTTCCATTAATTTTCCGATCGTTCCTATGGCAGCTATATGATATAGTAGTCCGATTTTTTAAATAATTAATTCGAAATTCAGAAATATTTAAAAAATAACATCCCCAAAAGTAGAAGGTAATATTTCAAAAAACACCGAAGCTAGAATTTTTTAAAGTTTTTTTCTTCCGATCCTTCCTATGGGAGCTATAAGATATAGTTGTCCGATCCGGTCGGCTCCGACATATATACTACCTGCAATAGAAAGAAGACTTTTGCGAAAGTTTCGTCCCGATAGCTCAAAAACTGAGAGACTAGTTTGCGTAGAAACAGACAGACGGACAGACGGACAGACGGACAGACGGACAGACGGACAGACAGACAGACGGACAGACGGACGGACAGACGGACAGACGGACATGGCTAGATCGACTCGTCTTGTGATGCTGATCAAGAATATATATACTTTATGGGGTCGGAAACGTCTCCTTCACTGCGTTGCAAACTTCTGACTGAAATCATAATACCCTCTGCAAGGGTATAAAAATCATGGTCGGGAATGCTCCAGCAGAGAATTTGTTCAGCCATTTCTGTGCTTCGTTTCCTTTGCACATGTGAATTGTATAGCAAGCGGTTCTCTAACGCTTTTCCATGAAAAACATATTTTCCGGATCAAGCGGCTTAGTGGGTGGCAGGAAGTAAATGCCAGCTAATGCATTTCCACTGTCACCATTTGCACTTGCAATCAGACGATTTATTAGAGCTGAAGTTAGCCTTTATTACTATTGCCTGTCCTGCTTAAGGATAAGTTATAGATTTTTAATAACTTGTCTGCCCTGACTAGTCAGAACAGTGAAAAATGTTACAGTAAGCGGCTTCTAATATATGTAGATATGTTTATCAGAGACCGTAATTCGAAAAAATCATTTTTACCGGTTATTTAAAATTTTTATTATACAAATTTCAAAATAATTATTATTATCAATTTGTATAATATCGCACAAAAATAAACATTGTTCGAGGATTTAAATTGTTGCAAACAAAAAAAAAACTTGGTAAAATCAACTGTAATAATTGTCAAACAGGTCCCAATCAGCAAAATTGACAATTCTACTAAGTAAATTGTCATTTCACAACAACAAAAAACACACAATTAGCAAAGACACAAACCCAAAGCAAAAACAAAATACACGTAGCTATTTTAATAGTTACGTAACTATCTTTGTTGGTCAATTTTACCAAGCAAATTTTTTTGTGTGTGCTTATTTTTTGAGTTCGAAGAAACCATAAGTTATTCGCTAATATCTTTTGAGTTCTTACCTTTATAACATTACCAATTTTTTATTAGACGGAAGCTATTTTGACCTTATAAAGTATATATGTTGTTGGTCAGGAGAATAAAAACAAGAGACAACGCTGTAGGCGAGTAATTTGACTGAAAGATACCCATTACTCAGAAAAAGAAAGTGCAAGATAGATCGATATATGAATGTAGCAAAGCGACTGCTTACGCTGCTTGAATTCCATTACTTGCTCTTAACTCTTTATGAATGGTGCGATTTGAAACATGACTTCTATACTTTTGGGTGTTAGAGTGGGCGTGGCGTTTCATTATTTTTTCATTATTGTTTCATTATGTGTACTAATTGCAAATTACGTTATCTTTTTTTCAGGTAAGCGTTTATAAAACACCAACTGAATGTTACATAACTAATATGCGTAAGTTTCTGTCACCCACCCATCGATAATTAAACCAAGATCTAAACTTTTTAAAAGCATACATTAGCAACAACTCAATATTTTATAGACTAAAGCATTGTTTTTATGGCACTACCTATTTAGTTTACAGTTCACTTGCTTTTGTTTCAGACCAGGTTTGGAGACCAGGTTTAATTGACGGGCAAGAGCATGTTTACATAATACAAATTTTTACAAAAATTTTTGGCCCTAGTCCCGTTTACGATTGAAACATTGAAAGGGGTTCTCAAATAAATGGTTTTACTTAAGCTTAGCCCTGCACAACCTTATATTTCACTAATCAAAGAGCCCTAGTTTGTTTTATACTTGCTTATTTTGATGTAAACTACTAGACATTCGTTATATTCCATATGAATCCATGAAAAATTTAAAACGGCAATGGTTTTAACTTTTAAACATACATAGGTTTGATCTTAATTATAATGAAATAATTAATGGCCTTATAAATGCCGTGCTATGAATAGCTGTTTACAAACTAACTTTCGGGTTTATTGTGGCTGGGGAGCTTGATTTGTTGTATGCAAAACAATGCAAGTGCATCGATTACTTAAGCCCCTCAGTCACTGGTAAATTTTGAACAGTTTTCAAAATATTACCTTTAAATAATACGCCATTTTGCTAATTTTATACGATTTATTAATCATAGGTCATTACAGTAAGCCTCTCTAGCTATCCACACTCAGCTTGATTATTCATGTACATCAGATATAATAAAGTTATCGTAATTTATTTAACCTAAGTACATATCATACTACAAAAATCCACCCGAAATAACGTCCCTCCCAGCCTCACATCAAAAATAAAACAAGAATAAAATGTATTCTTCATTCCTACAATGCCTTCACAACCGAACTTTACCTCATTGTAAAACACACGAACACAAGAGCTTGACAAACACAACCAGCCAAACACACTGAACGACTCCCAAGTGCACAGCAATCTGCAGAATAGCTCCGCTTCTTCCCAACCTCCCACCTCCCTTCATTGCCCACTTCCTGCCCACCCAATCCCCTTCCCTCAACAGCGAAAACTCAACAGCAATAACAAGTTCTCCTCCAACACAAAAGCCAACAATGAACACAGCTGCCTTCGCACCGATAAAAAAACATACAGAAAACACAATTCAATTTCTTCTATTACAATTTCTTTCTGACTACCAACCCTTGTCTTTCTTTCCGCTTTTTATTTAGTACTCGCATATTTACATGAATGCCACGCCCAAGCCAATCCCTATCCCCCGAGCAGCCATGACCCAACTACCTCAATAATGGAAATCTGAATTTGAACTGTCCATTTGAACGGCTTCTGTCAAATTTTTAACCGAGATCCTTCAGCGACAATTGCCTTCAGTCCCAACCATCATCTTTTTCACCAAGCTCCCCAGAGACTATTTATACTAATTCAACTTATTCTATCATTATATTTACTATTATTCCCCCATACACAACTAAAAAGTTTGAATTATAATTCATTAAGCGTCACAGTGAATCAAACCAGATAGTGAAATATTAATAATACTTTTCCTTTACTTCCCTGATCACACGCTCGACAGATGCTGCAGGCGGTAATTTCTCTATTTATCTTGTTTTTTTATTTTTCTATGTCCTAAATATATCTTGTATGCCTTAGTCTTGATGCAATTCACAGCGTCCACCTTATATATTGGACATGCATTTCCACTAGAATCAGTTACTTAAATCAATGGCATAATTTAATCAATATCAATTATATCAATGACACTGTGCAGCATTTTTAGTGCTTTTTAAATTTACCTCGATGGATGCTATATTTTTGGATTCGTTACGAATTCCCAAGTTAAACTGCGTTTTCCAAAAAGTTCCCCGACTCAAGGATTCTTAGCAAAAGGACCTCAAAGTTTGAAAAATGCTGAAATTGGCCAACTTTGCGGAGTTCTCAGAGGCAAATGGATGCATGGTTTGATTCGATGTTAAAGTTTTTTAAAAGATATAAACATCAAACCTTAAAAAACACAGGGCGGCACTACTACTACTATTTTGACCGCAGCTGTATGCATTTATGTTTTTTGACTATGTTTTCTAAAATTGGTTTCTCCTTAAAAAAAAACCTAAAATTATTCTAAGTATGGCGTTTGAAAGATAAAGAGTGTATCTTTTAAAAAACTTTAATATCGAATCAAACCATGCATCCATTTGCCTCTGAGAACTCCGCAAAGTTGGCCAATTTCAGCATTTTTCAAACTTTGAGGTCCTTTTGCTAAGAATCCTTGCGTCGGGGAACTTTTTGGAAAACGCAGTTTAACTTGGGAATTCGTAACGAATCCAAAAATATGGCATCCATCGAGGTAAATTTTTGATGCTGCATAGTGTAATTAATATCTGAAATTCCAAATTAAAATCAACATCAGTGCTATGCCAGCATCTGTTAAATTTGGATGGTGCAAAAAATTCAGATCACTAAATCAGTAAACCCTTTTTTTCAACATTGTCTGACACGCTACCTGCCCATAGATACCATTCGAGATCGCACGCTTAAAGATAGATTATTATACCAGTATATAACAAAGGGCCTTTAAGAGCGCTTTTCCTTTATTTTTTTGTGTACATAATTGGGGAAGCTTTTAGTGGCTTTGCGCATATTCAAAAATCTTCTTATCGTTCTAAATAATGCTCAGAAAATAACATAAAAAAGATAAAAAATAGCGGTAATATAAACGAATTGGACAGTCACTTTAAATTCGGTAATATTAATTTGAGAGGGAAGTTGGCAACCTTTCACTGAAAAATTTCTGCACAACTGGGTTTCATTTGATTAAAACACGCTACCTGCAACATCAATTTAAGAACTCTATTCTAGAACTGAGCATTCTTAGCATTGCATTTGTTTTGGTTATCTGTTTATATTTAATTTTAGACTTTTTATTTTCCCTTGAGTTTTTATGAAATATACCCCTAAGCCCTTACACCCAAACTCTTGCTTTCTGAGAAAATTGATTTGTTAAAACGTATTTTATCTACTTCTTCTACTACTACTACTCAACTATCGAACTACTTTTACTACTGCTATGAACTACTTAAACCAATATGGAACCATACTAACTACAAAACTACTTACATCTTCTACTATAACTACTCTAATTACAACTCAACTACAATCTATATACTACGAATTTACAATGAGGTAAAGTATAAGTATAAAGTATCTACTGAAAATAGCGTAAAAGTTTGTACTTAAAAGATAACATAGACAGCAAAATAATAAGACAACAGCACACCCACAACAATATACCCCAGTTAAGTCTGAGATCAAAAAAGTGCCCCTTTTAAAATTAACACAATCACTGTAAACTTGTTACTGTTATCCATAGCGCTATAAGACATTTTGCCACATTTGACTACTACGAAATATTCCTTTAAGTGGAAAACAATCATTAAATTTATTAAGTCAGGAAAATCGATCAATTTTTAATTGACAGTCGCACGCACATAACCTCTTAAATTCAAGAGACTCTGGCCTTGCTGCCAATTCAATACTTAAAGATATTCTGTATCTTTCGGTTGACATGTTAGCCATAGTTTCCAGACAATAAGACAAGGGAAACAGAGCCGCAACAACGATGAGTTGATTCACCCACTGCAGATTGAAAGCCGTTGCTTAGGAGGAATGGGAGTTCCGCAGAGCCTTGCAAAAGCGGCTAGGAGCTTGGCATAAATTATGTATATTAAAAATTCCTTAAATATCCCTGCGCTGAGTACAGACCGAAATATTTGCATGCGTCTGGCTGTCCGGCCTTCAGCCCACACGATGCTCAGTTGTGCATTTTTGACAAATTTTGCCGTTTGCTGGCATGACGTCGCATTCCTAACGTGCCTGGCAAGGGGTCCCTGAGTGGATGTGAATGGGGATGGGGATGTGGAAGAGGAAGAGGAAATGTTTCCACGACTGCGGATGAGGCACACAACTAATTGCTGGCATTATAAGAAAGACCGTGTGCACGCGGTGAAATGCCTCCGTCCTAGCCAAGAGCCCTGAGCGCCTTTAGCCAAGATTGTGCGAGCAGGCAAAGGCGCAGTGTCAGCGTAATTTCAACACTTGCACACGCCCCTGCCTTCTCACTTATGCACTCACGCCAGCAGATCGCAGTCATAAGTAAATATCGGGTGCTTCGAGGCTGTTAAATTATAATTACGGGCGAAATGCGGTAGTTGCTATCAGCGACTATGGCAATGAAAACGTTGACTAGGGGGCGTGTGCCACCTTCTCGGCGATTAAGCCAGGGTCTCCTTAGAACTCCCACGGACTTCCCCTTATCCCCCTGGGTTGTTGCTCAGCCGTCAGCCGCTTTTCCTGCACAGCTTTCCTCCATGTGTGCACACAGCCGTCCCTTTGACCCAGATGCGGGCGAGGCGGTGGCGGCTTTTACGGTCCAAGGAAGCTCAGCGGGCTTGAACCGGATTAAGCAAGAAAATAATTTGCTGTTCGTGCCTTTTCACCAACTCCTTGCGGAGAAGGCGGCAGAAAATTAAGCATTCGAGACAAAGGGGGACAGGGGTGCGCACAATACTCGACACAAATGAGCGAGCCTTCTCCTTCGCCCTTCCCTCACCATTTCCATACATGAACGCCAGTGTAGGGGTGGCCCATGTCACAATAGAAGTGGAAATGGAACTCTAATGTAGTATTCCTCGACGAGCGCGTATTAAGTAGAATAAATGTCACCCGACCAGCTTCCGCAGCCACATCCTCTGGCACATCATCACATCCGCCTCGGTTGGGGCTTAGCCCTATACTTATGACTGTGGGTAAGACAATTACGCTGGCTCCGTAGGTCCTCTTTGGGCTCGTCCGCGTTCCATTTGCGCCCTGGTTTCGGCACGTCTTCATCATCGGGTCGCGCTGACGTGTTGGTATTCAAAACAGCAGTCGAAGCAATAAAACGCACTCTAGGGTTTATCCGAGAGCTGCGGCTCGTATATCAGACTTATGACTTCTGCCGAACACTTTGTGCTGTACTGTGGGGGAGGGCGTCGCGCTCATCCCTCATCCCCAGCAGCCACCCGATCCCCTGGCAGAAAACAAGCCCAGCGCCAGTTCCACTTCCTCGTGGCAGATAGGTATTAAGTACCCTCATTTCGCCCATGACACGCCGAGAAAAGTAAAGCTTTTAACGGCAAAAAATAAAATGAATGGAGGCAAGAAACCCCAAGAACCAACAACCAATTTGTACAGACTGGCCGACAGATTTTTCGGGCTGTCAGGAACATTTCTCATGCAAATTGAAAGCTTTCGCATCCTTAAAGGGCCATCAATGGGCTTCGCTAACGGGTTGTCCATTTCCATTAGTGGGGAGCAGCAATAGAAAGTGGAGAATAATGGAGAAAAAGGAGAAAAATGGAGGGCCTAGAATGCGGAGCCCATGTGGAGGTGGGAAGTGCGTCTTTCGCTGGCGGTGTTAATTATGTTGGCATGATAATTGCATTACAATAGGCTTGATTAGTTTTTAATTGAGTTGTGCACTTATTCAGGGGCCATCTTGAATCTGCAACTGGAGTCAAGTTTTAAAGGGGTTTCGCCATCAACTTTGAGGGCCCAGTGATGTCCATAGCAGGCACACTCGCAATCGCATTCGCAGCTTGGCGTGGGTGGGCAGCACGCACAAAGCGAGACCGGCGAAAGGAAGGGGAAGTTCGTAAAGTTCATAAAGCAAATTACAAAAGTCCCATAAAAGTGGTCTGCTCCGGGTTGGGGCTCCTCCTGCTGGGATTGTCGGCTATTTGACACCATTTCGCAAATCAATTTTTATTATAAAATGCGTTGGCTAATTTATGAAAACAATAAATGCGTCTGCAAATCAAGTCACAGTCACCCCAAAAAGTTCATTCACAAAGCTATCCAACAAATTGATGACTATAAATTCAATTTAATGTGCGATGCCTTTTGCACCAGCCAAGGGACGGACGGGCGAAGAGGGAAAAAGCCAAGTGTGGTCATCCGTCACCCCCTGACGACATTCCCCATCCGCCCCGTGAGCTCAAGGGAAGAGGGAAGAACTCAAGAGCAGCGAGCGCGGAATGTGCGATTCTGCGCCAACGGCGTTGCTGCGTCTCTGTCGCCCCACATAAGTCGACATCAGAGCGAGCAGAGAAGCTGGCTGGCTGCTCTTATCAGCATCGCAGCCAGGACCAGAGCAAAATCAGAACTCGAGTCGGACTCAATCCGCTGGGACCGGCGCAGGCGCAGGACTCCAGGGGCGCTGAAATCTCGGCTCGGTCCAGCGCCGACTGCGACGCGACTGCGGCAGCCTGCTCGGCGCCAGCACATAAAAGGCCGGGCCAGGACTGCCAGCACTCCTACTCCGGGCTCGCACTCCTGCGGCTGAAGTTCACTCCGCCAGTCCGCCTGTCGAGGCGTTTTCCTGCACTCAGTTCGTGGACACTCGTGGTCGCGTTCGCACTGCACTTCGGGCACCCGCTTCGAATCGATTGAGATGGCCGTGGCGACGACGCCACTGGAAGTAGGGCCACCACCGCCCCGGCGACTGCGGCCGAGCCAGTGTGTCGGGGATGTTGCAGCTCCTGGCTGAAACCGAGTCCAGTAGCGCCAGCGTCGGCTTAGGCAACGGTTGCATTTGCCCACACTCGGGACGCAGACGGAGAACAGAAGGCTCCAAGACGGACAGATAGCAGTGGCCAAGAGCGCCCTGAAATCATGAATTTCATTGGTATGAAGCCTCACTCAAATCTAAGCCACAGTCTGCCTCCAACACTGCTTTTCGATTTCCGGTGGCGGACTTCTTGATTTCGTCTTCTTCCCCCTGAATAAAACACTGCCATCACTCAACCAACCTACTACTCAACTACTCAACTCGCCAAAACACACAAACGCTGTTACTCTTACCGAAACCGTGTCCCATGTAAGTCTTTGCAAGCGAACAGCAAATCGTTTATTTTTCACCTCAATCGCTCATACGTAACGTAATCTATCCGTAAGCATATGGTGGCATTCTGGTGCAACTAAGTTCAGTGGGACGGGCAAAATCAATCGATTGAGGTGGGTCGAGGGAGGCCTCGAGTGGCTGCAGGCACGGCCTATCGATTTTTAACACCAGCGATGGCCACAGCGGAAAGTTCAAGGTTTGAGTTCTGGCCAACTCAGAGGGGATTGCAGCGCTGGTGCTGAGGGTGGAGACTGTCGCCAAGACGGCACTGGAAGGCCTCGCCGAACTCCCGTGAGTTGCGTAGCGTGGCGTGCGTCACCTGCCGCTTGCGGTCCTGCTGCAAGACCCCCAGCTCGGAACGGCAGTCCACGAGCAGGTTTGCCACGAAGAAGAGCCTCTGCAGGGACATCTTCGTTCGTCCGGCCGCCAGGAGTGCGTCGATTCTCTCCTGAAACGTTGTCCGGGTAGCCAGCCATTGCCGGTACCCACTCAGCGCCAGCCTCTGGGCCAGCAGGCTAAGAAGCAAATCGTTGGCGTTCGCCTGTCCGGCGGCGCACTCCTGGAAGACGGCGAAGCGCCGCTCCGAGTCCGAGCTACGCCAGGCGCCCGGAGTGCCGGAGCTGCTGCCCGCAGCCACCAGGCTCCGCGAAAAGTACTCCCCCAGCAGAAGGTAGTTGAGCGGCGTGGTCAGGTTGCTCTGCCCCAAGAGGGCACTAATCGAGGCAAAAGCCATAGAGTAGTGGCGCACTAGCTGGACGGATTGTGAGGGCTGTTGCCGCGGGCGCTGGAACTTGCGCAACTTTTCCAGATTGCGGTACAGGCTCCGCCTGCCTAGCAGGACACCGTGGTAGCTGGCGTCCAAGAGCTCGTCGCCGTTTATGGTTAGGCGCGTAACGCTTCCCAGGAACTGCCTCGAGCTCTGCTGCGAAATCTCGTCGATCCACACACTGCCGGCCAGCTGATCCGCATACGCTTTTCCCAGCACCGAGTACATCCGGGCCAGTTCGACCCGATCAGCAGTCACCCGGGGCGCCATTTGCGAGTAAATGTCGCCGGCATAAGTCTCTGCCAAGTGGTGACAGTCTGCATCCGCGATGTCTGAAAGAATGAAAGCAACAAGGCTTGAGTGTTTTCTTTAAAAGCTGCAGGAACTAATTACAAAGTATATTTATCACTAAACCTCGAACTTATAGAACTGAATCAAAAACCTTTGGAAAGAAAATTACAAAAGTACAAGACAAAACAAGAGAGAAAGCTATAGTCGGGTGTCCCGACTATCAGATACCCGTTACTCAGCTTAAGGGAGTGCGAGGGAGACGGAGACATATAACTTTTTAACTAATGGTCCGATTTGAAAAATTTCTTCCACATTTTGATAGGTATAAATAAAAGCAAAAAAATTGCATTCAAACTTCTCCGAAATTTTAATAAATCTTAATAAAAATGTGGGCGCTAGACACATTCTAAAATCGATTGTGGGCGATTGTGGGCGTTAGAGGTGGCGTGGGGCTCGGCTGAAATAAACTTGCGCTGCGTAGGAAGCCCAAGAATATGTGTGGGTAATCCCAACTTTCTAGCTTTTGTAGTTTCCAAATTCTCAGCGTGCATACAGACAGATGGACATGGCTATATCGACTCGGCTAGTGACCCTTATGAAGAATATATATATTTATACCCGTTACTCGTAGAGTAAAAGGGTATACTAGATTCGTGCAAAAGTATGTAACAGGTAGAAGGAAGCGTTTCCGACCCCATAAAGTATATATATTCTTGATCAGGATCACTAGCCGAGTCGATCTAGCCATGTCCGTCTGTCCGTCTGTCCGTCTGTCTGTCTGTCCGTCTGTCCGTATGAACGCTGAGATCTCGGAAACTATAGAAGCTAGAAGATTGGCATTTTGCATGCAGATTCTAGGAATTCCTACGCAGCGCAAGTTTGTTTCAAAATGGTGCCACGCCCCCTCTAACGCCCACCATCGCTTATATACGATTTTAAAAATTTTAATATTTTGGAAAAGTAAAAATGCAGTTTTATTGTGTTTATCAATACCTATCGAAATGTAGAAGAAATTTTTCAAATCGGACCATTCGTTAAAAAGTTATGCGTGATCAACGTTTTCTATCTCTATCTCCATCTCCCTCGCACTCCCTTTACCTGAGTAACGGGTATCTGATAGTCGGGGCACCCGACTATAACGTTCCCTCTTGTTTATAGTAAACTCACCCATTAGGTAGTCCGTCCAGATCCAGTTCAGCAGCCTGACCATGCTGGTGTTCTGGAGCAAAACGAAATAGTCGACCAGTCTGGGCAGCTGCTTGACGACAATGGTGTCGCTGGGCTGGAGCGTTTTACCGCCCAACAACTTCCGGAAGTAACCGTCCCAGTCCAGTCTGGCCAGCGAGGTGTTTCCAAAGGCACTGCGCTTGAAGTTGCCGTAGCTGAATTCCACCTGGTCATCGATGTGATCCGCCTTGACAATGTCGCGACGACTACGCTCGAGACTGAGCACCTCGAGGGCGGCGACATGAGCACGGCTCTGCTCAATCCCGAAACTCTGCAGGACTTCGCCCACCCGCTGCTCAAACTTTCTCAGAGTGTTTCGACGCGTTAAGTCGGGTCGTATCACCACCAGACGCTTGTTGGACTGCATTATGACCTCAGACTCAAAGAAGTAGGGCGCCCCTACCTCGTGAAAGTTACCGAGAACTGTAAGCCAGCTCTGTGTTTGGTTCGGCCGCTGACTGGCGTTGGCCTTTATTAACTCCAGGGCAGGCCAACCTCCGCTTAACCTAAACAGCTGCGAGCCCTTGAGCGCCTCTATGCCCCGACCGCTCTCGCAGGACTTGAAGAAGTTTACCAGCTGAAGCTCCATATCCATCAGCTGCGCGACGTCCGCCTCCTTAATCATGCTCTGTAAACGCTGCCTTCCCGTCTGACTGAGGTTGGCGCTGTGCGAGCAGACGTAGCCGTAGAAGTCCTGACAGGGCTGCTTGCTGGTGTCCAGGTACTGCTCCAGTTTATATGACAAGGTCAGCAGGTCGTTCTCCACCCTGGCCAGGCTCTCCTGGCCGCAGGCGAGGCCTGCTATCCACATGATGGTCAGTAGTCTCAGAAGCATTTTACCCTAGTGCTGCTTCTGTTACGACTTGAATCGAAATGAACCCGCCACCTCTCACCGATTCTGCCGCAGGTACCTGGCCTTGCTTTTCTCTTCGGAGGTCGGAATGTCAAAGGCCGCTGCTAATACGGCGGCACACTTCCGCGCTTCTGCTGCCAGACTGGGGCTCGGACAGACTGAGTAGTTAGGGTGGTCAAAGCTATGCTTAAGTCCCACCTAATCGCGTTCCCATTCGTTTCCCCCTGTCACTGACACTGGCACTGGAATGGAAACTAAAATCATTCAAAGTGATAACCTACTAGGCGATAACGAGACGAGCTGAGAGGCGGACTTTTAATCAAGTGTGTCAAAATGTCGGGTTATGAATGCGATCCAAATTGGTCACGGCCGATTTTAATTTACTTAGTTTTTAACGAGCATAGTTCTATACTCTGTAACTTTCAAAAAGATTCGACTTTGACCAGGGGCCAAAGTCGGCTTAGATACGTAATCACAAGAAAGCTAAGTTTAAATCTCTGGCTAACCATTCCTTTGTCCCATACACAGGCGCTGTAGGAGGTGATGGAGGCGATGATGGAGACGACAAGGAAAAGGCAGAGGAGGAGGAGAGGGAGCGTCAGGAGGCCATTAAGGAGGCCGAGGACCGGCGCAAGGAAAAACACCGGAAAATGGAAGAGGAGCGCGAGAAGATGAGGCAAGACATTCGCGATAAGGTGAGTGTGAGTGGGTGGGTCTTTGTAAGCTTTGCAAATACAGTGAATGTGCCTTACATACCTATTGTTCCCTGACATAAGAGAACCAATTCCTGGCGCAGCTCAAATTGACTCTAGTAGGGAGTCCTTTCAATGAGCGACTCCCTAACGGAGTCAGATTGAACTACAAAGGACCAAGACAACAAAGGGAAATCTTTAAAAAGTGTTAGCTGATAAGAAAATAGACTCTAGCCAATGTCCAGCGGTCTAATCAACCTGTTGATCTACCGACTTCAAATTAACAATTCAGTACAACATCAAGAAGAAAGAGGAAATCGTGGAGGCGGCACCCCAAGAAGAACCCAATCCCCTGATGAGGAAAAAGAAGACGCCCGAAGAACTCGCCGCCGAAGCGGAGCAGGAAGAGCTCGACGATTTTACAAGTAAGTTTTCGCTGTCACTGTCGATTCCCGATACCGTTTTGCTCAGCTACTGGTATCTATGTACTGCAAATCGAAGCTTGCAAGGCAACTGGCCTTCGATCCCGCCCCGATTGCTCCTTTTATGAACTGTATAAGATTTTCAGTTATCTTCTTTTCGTTTGCCAATACTTTGGCAATGGCTCACGAGAGTCTCGCCAAGTCCAGACAATACCAAAACCTTTTGACTAACAAAATCAAAACCGAATAAATCAGCTAGATACTCTACGGCGCTCGAAAGTAGTAACTGTGTTTATGTTTGTGCATCTGTGTGCCTCTCTAACTGCAATCGAACTATCCAGTATAACTCTCTCAACAACTGCCCACTAACCAAATCTATCTATCTATCTATTTATATGTACTCTTTTCCATGTGCGCATAATATTTAAGCCCTAAACCTAATCTAATGCTAACTTAAACTGCAACCCTATCTGTCTAAAATCTAACCTTCAACTGTAATGCAACGACGAATATAAACATTGCCAATTACATATTTTTACACCAAGCGTGCACACCATTCATATTTTTTATTTTATTCAGTTTCCCTACTTCAGTTAAGCATCACTGTAGTTCATCCCAGTGACGGATCCAGGAAATGGTTGTGGTTAAAAGGAGTTTTTAAATTCAATTTTTTGTTGCGTACTTTTCAAATATCTTATTTATTTTATTTATTTTTCAAATCCCCCCGTGGATCCGCACATGGTACATACTATAGAGCATTTAAACAAAATATCTGTGATGAATTATTGGTCTTAATTGTGGGTAAACGCTGTAATTAATGAATTGCTATTAGCAGACGAATTCATTGTAATTAGGTTCTCAATTAATTAGAATAAGGTAAGTGCGACAAATCGTAAAAACGTATATTCTTCTTTTGTGTGGTAATATTGTTGTAATACATTTGTATTAAATAACTACTTTTCCGACTCCCACATCAACAACAACAACTATTTTTGACTACTCTCGCTCTTTCGATACCTACCACCTATTATGTGTAAATTAATTTGTAAAATACTGAGCTTAAAAGACGAACCTTTATCACCCAATGCTGGACCGCCTTCAACAAGATCAAGAAGCCATGAAAATGAATGGATATTTTAGAATTGATAGCGCAGGGGATATACAATTGTTTTCTACTTATATTATTTAAAACATCAATGTCACCAAATGCACTTCTGTTATACTAATAGCGCCTATTATTTCACATCTTAATATAAACACTAACAAAATACTTGTGCTTGTGTGGTAAACTGCATTTTGAAACATAACACTCATAACAAAATAACTATAACTTAACCTTAAAAAAAAGTATCTACGATAAATGGACGAGCAACAATTACAAAACTTTTTCCCTCTCGTTGACTCTTTCCTTTCAATATGTGTACTATATGTATTTTACATAATGCAAAATTGTGTGTAAAATATATATATTGCTCATATACTGCATATGTATGTGTATTTCCTTCGCACCAGAATCAACATCTTAGTCATTTCTTCTCTCTCAATCTACTAAAATATAACAGAGCTAAAAAACAGTCGATAGTCATTCAACATATTCAATCCTTTTGTTCTATTTTCTTTTGGCTTTTTTAATAAGTTTATTATACCCGTTACTCGTAGAGTAAAAGGGTATATTGTATTCGTGCAAAAGTATGTAACAGGGAGAAGGAAGCGTTTCCGACCCCTAAAGGTATATATATTCTTGATCAGGGTCACTAGCCGAGTTGATCTAGCCATGTTCGTCTGTCTGTCCGTCTGTATGAACGCTGAGATCCCGGAAACTACAAGCAAGAAGGTTGAGATTTCCCACACATATTCTTGGGATTCCTACGCAGCGCAAGTTTATTTCAGCCGAGCGCCACGCCTTGTTTCTGGCGCCCACACCTTTAAAGATTTCCGAGAAGTATAAATGCAATTTTGTTGTGTTTCAAATCGGACCATTCATTAAAAAGTTATGCGCAATCAAAAAAAGTTTAGATATCCATCTCCCTCGCACTTCCTTTAGCTGAGTGACGGGTATTAGATAGTCGAAACACAAACCCGACTATATCGTTCTCTCTTGTTTTGTACTACATTTATGTATAAATTATTTTTTTTTATAAATAAATAATATAACTTTTAGCTATATGTCAAAAAAGATTGAATAAAGAAAGATTAAAAAGTTTTAATAAATAAGTAGAAAGTAATTTTACTTTAAGCCTTATGTCAATTAATGAATAATTACAAGAAATGTCGACAGAAATGTCACTATCGATGTTTTTGCAGCTCTACATCTAACTAAAACTTTTAACATACTTAATCAGACTTTAACTGTGACGTTTACACTTACAATTTATAGTCTTTTTAAAAACACGACTAATCTTCGAGTAATTGCTTATTGGTTTTGATTTTTACGAGTCTTTGACGCTAAAATATTTCTTCGCGAATAATATATATAGTTACAGCTACAGTAAACCAGTTACAGTACAAGAGCATCCATGAATACATATACATAACAGTTAACATATGAAACATTTGTAGTCTATTCTACAAAATATGCTTATTTATTGCTGTTTCCATACTCAATTTCTTTTACAGAACTGAAAAATCAAATAGAAACGCAAGTAAATGAGCTAAAAACCCAAATAGAGGGAAAATGTGTCATGCAGTGATATGTCAGTCATCATAATAACAAACAATTGAATATAATGAAAATATACAAATAACATTCAACCGATAAAAGGAAATTTATTTAACTCGACCTGAAATTGGATTTGTTAATATGAGATCTGTTAAGTTATATTGAAAAAAATAAAAAAAACTAACTAAAAGCATTACAAAGCTAGAGCCTAAAATAACTGTAACCCGGCAGCGACATAAATCCTATAAAACATTAAACCCCAAAATCAATTACAGCTATAATCCGAAACGAAGAAGATATGCGAAATCCAAATGCGAACAGGACGGTGAATTCCTAAAGAATTTTAATGTAGCTAAAACATAAACCAAATTATTTAAAGCCCAACTATAGTAAAAGCCTTTAATAATATTCAAATCACTTTGCTTCGATAATAATGTAATATACTCAAACCCAATTTAAAATACATAATCGTTGTTTAGTTGATAACATACAATAACATAACGATCTAATAAATATATCGAGTCGGACGATGACATTCGAAACCAAATTGAAAGAAATAATACAAATATAAAACATAATAAAAATCAAAACAAAACAATTAGGCGAATGGTGCGACAGAGGAGGCTGCTGAATCCTGTCGAACCGTCAAAGTATGTTGCTGAAATCACTTTGGACTTGAAATCCATCAATAAGTATAGAAAAAAATGAACCAAATATCGGCGAATATGTTGAAATTGTCATTCAAGCATATATATGTATACACCCGTTTTGTATATATGTAAATTTAGTGAATTTAACCACGAACAAATGAATATACTTGCAAACGAATTGACTGCAGATACGTTGAAATTATTGCTGATTCTCTAAATTGTTCACTAAGAAACAGAAAAGATATCTATAAAAATAAATGAAATGTTTCAGTCAATTTGTTTTTGAAAATTCGAGACAAAACATCTTTAACAGCTGCTACATTTTGTTTCTTTCTTATACAAACAACATACCAACACTACAATTGAGATTTTCAAACTCTTTGAGATAGTTAATGATCTCTCTGATTGATGCTTCTGAAATGTAAGTAAATAAGATTACTATATTCCTAAACATAAACCTTACCCTTACTAATATATTATCAACAGTACCAGACTTAAGATTCATTTCTCATTTATTTGTATCCATACTGGTTAAGTTTTTAATCAGTTACGGGTATTCCGTAGGAAATATTGTTAAACAATATAATGCGAAAATATATATAGTAGTAGCTATTTAGACAAGGACAATAGCTTATAAGAGATGCTAGGCAGTTCGAGAGCATAATGCTGTGATACATTTAGCATACATTTTCCCCCAAAAATTTACTAGCCTCCAAACGATTTCTGCACCGCAAGAAGCCGGTAGAGAACAAAAACAAAACATGCATGCACAAAAGTCGGCCACAAGAAACAAAGACACCAAAGCATACGACATATGTATATAAGTCCTTCCACCAAATGCCCTTTACAATGACGGGACCAGGATAACGACAGTCCGCCGATTGTCCGAAGCATCCGCTTGTGAAGGGTAGGAACACATTCGATTACATGCTAACTCCCACATACTATTACATCTTCGCACAGACTCTTTTCAGTCCCACCAAAATTGTATATACTTATACATGGGTCTTTAACGGTATTTCACCGACATTTTCTAAGGTACAGATCACATTACCGTGTGCATGGATGTATGGACTACAGATCGAGCCTTCCCCGTTCTAAGTCGAGGCACTTTCTACCTTCGACTTCACCGTTTACTCCTGTTAGGTTTCCAAAACTTTGTCTAAGATAAGGGACTATCCATCCAAAAATGGACTTCAGTTTGCATGCGATTTGTGACGTGAACGGCTCGTGTATGTTTTATCAGTCTCAGCATACATACCTTTTTCATATATCACATGTAAGATACATATGTGTTATATTTGTACAATGCCCTCCCTGACTGTGAAATTAAATAGTCGACCTTTTAGAAACATTATTGAGTCTATATGAAGCGTGCATTTAAGCAGTTTGTATTGAATCGATGCAGTCTTGCAGTCGGAAAGGACATTTTTACTCCGGGTAACCGGGTATAGCTTCTCAGTCGAATATCTCTCTTGTCAAATTAAACTAAACTAAACTTAATATACTAACTATAATAAATGTTTTAATCACACTGCATTCTATATATATAAATATCTCTCTCTTTCTCTTTCTCTGTTGTCTCTCTCTCTCTTTCTCTTTTTTGTTTTAAAACACTCTCTTTAAAATCTTTAATCTGCGCCACTTCTACTCTGCCTCAAATTCTATATCTGAAAACAACTTGAACAACATTTGCAACAACACGAAACAACAACAATATCAACTATTACAACAACATCAACAACAATTCTACCAATTCTTCACAACTACGATTTGATGGTCCTTCCTAGACATGTACTCTCGGTGTTTTATAAATATCATCAACAACAACCAGAACAACAGCACAAGAAAACGCCTACAGCCAGTACAAGAACAACATCAACAACAACATCAACTACAGAAGTATCTAAATGTGTATTATAAGAGGTTAATTATTCTATCCACGCAAACAATAGAAGTAAACAACTAGCTACATGAATAACATCATCATCTAAACTAAATCATCGCAATTTGCAATCCAACATTCCCTACCATATTTATAAACGTTGTGAACTAATTTTGGATGTGGCTTAGTGTGGCTTATGCCACTGCATAAACACATTCGTGTACTTTCACTTAACATAGTCACCAGTAATATGCATATGCATTTAAATGGCTATATGGTGTTGTAAATGCTTGAAATTGTGTACAGATCCAATAAATAGCAACGAATTATATGTGTACCTTCCTGCAATAAACTGCATAAATGAAAAAGATAAATATTCAACTTTCTGTATCTACAATTGAAAGCTAATATCTATATCTTCAAGTCTTAGCATTTCAAGCTTTGCCCCATAATTTTTCTAAAAAATGTCAGATTTCTTGTTTTCGCATATCGGTAGGACAGCAACTAAATAAAATGGCTTAATGCCCCTCTATGTCAACCTAATAAAGCAATCCTATAGTGCCCCCTCGCTCCATACAAAGTTAGGAACGATCAAACTAATGAATGAATGCCTTAACGTGGCTCAGAAAACTAGACCATGAGTAGCGAATAGATGATAATAAGAAAAGGTGACTCTACCCTAAGGAAAGGTACTTGCAATCCCAAGCTTTGGTTCCCCAGTCGCTACTCTATTACTGAATCGGTATCCAAATATCTTAGCTACAATCTTTTCAAGCTCGAAACTATAAAATCTATAAAGTAATGGCTTTCTAAATACTTATAGAAAATGTTTACCTAGATTCTACTATATCTATTGCGTTTTTCTCTGAGATACTTACATATATGAAGTTGAAGGTCACTTAATTGTTTAATAAATTGAAAAATAAAGAAAACGAACTCAACAAATTGAAACATATTATTCAATCATAACCAAGTTTTTAACGTAATCATAAATGTTTAAAATGTTAATTGGTTCTGACGATTTTACGTTCATTTATAATTTGTTAATATTATGTTACCGTTAATATTATAGTAATGAAAATGTAATTATATGTATAACAGAAAGTTCACGAAACCAGAGATAATTATGATATATGATTATCAATATATATATATATATATATATACACATACATATATATGTATATGTGTAACTTACATATATATGTGTAACTTAATAGGGAAATGAATTTAATAGAGAAACAACAGACATAAATTATAAATAATAATAATGTTGAAAAGAATACCATTCAAGTCATTATTAGATGTGAAAGAAGTTCTATACACAACAAAAGAGTAAACAAACAGAAGAAAAAACAAAAACGTAAAAAAATCGTTAATAGTTGATTAATTATATTGTTACTTTGAACATTTAATTAAAACAAACAAAAAAGGTATAATAAAATAAATATATATGTATAAATATATATGAGAAAACACAAAAATACATTTGGTTTTAATTCTGAGTCGGCCATTATCTCCAGGCGTTACCATTACCTTACCTTACTACACTCCATGCGACCAAATACATAGTCCTGATTACACTCTAACTTCTACCTGCCTGATATATGATACGTATAGAGAACTTAATTTGGCATGACTGTTCGTCTATATGTTTTTCTATCTATGTGTACGTGTCTCTCTTTCCTTCTCGCTCTCTGTCTCTCTCTCTCTCTCTGTATTATCGATCTGTCTATCTATGTCTAAATCTGCTCCTCAAAGTGCCTGTCTTGCAGTTCAAAACAGTCCACACCTGAATTTATGTACATCCATGAGTTTGATTGTCAGAACCACATGTACGTCGAAAGGCCAACATCTGCTGTCTATTTTTGCTCTGCTGTAAAGCCTTAAAAGCTGCCGAAGACTTTGTAAAAAATGTGTTTTGGAATGCGCCATGTTATCAATCAATCGTTAATGAGTTATCTACGTACCATTTTGAGTTAGGCATCAAAAGAGTAAGTATGTGTCATTTATACGAAAAAGACTAGATATTTTTAGGCAATGTAACTTTTTGTTGTGTAACCGCCGCCGACTACACCTGGAAAGGTAGGTAATTGCATAGCCAACCATTTTCTATACCGCACCACACAACATGGACATAAAATTCCACATAGGCACAGATACAAGAAGACCATTTTAAATTCCACTTAATTCCAAAAAGAAATACAAACTAAAAGAAAATTAGAGGGTAATAACAATGAAACTCAAAACAAACTATGTCCTTTCATTTTTATAGTTTTTCTACTCTTCGGTTTTAGGCAGTTTTTCTAAGTTATTCATGCCCTACTAAGTTTGTGTACCATTAAACTGATTTTGTCTTGTTTATATTTTCAGCAAAGTTGAAAAAACGTCTTAGCGACGCTTTTAAAAATTGCCCATTGAGAAACTTGTTCTGAACCAAGGTCTTGAGGATGAGAGTCATACCCCGATTCGGTTTCAGATTGCACAAATGCACGCGTACGGGCCAGCTTTGGCAAGTGTGTATATGTGAAAGAGTAATACAAAGTACTATGCTCTTTTCAACCCTTCAACGTGCATTACCTGCCAAATCCTGCTCCATGGCGGCTATACTAACTTGTGTCTAAACTAGGTTTACATTAAGCGATTTCAAGATGTGGATGCACTTTTATCAAACTAGCCCTATTGCCTATTTTGTAATAACCCAACTATAAGACAATTTTACCGGTCCCCTCTTTGAGAAAGTTGTAGATGGACCCAAGCGTGAGAATCAACATTTTTGTATTAGCATGTTTGAAAACGTTGGATATTTGAGTAGTAGTAGTATAACTATTTTAGTTAAGCGCTAAGCAACGCACATTGAATACATTGATGCATTGAATCAGTTAGTTCCTTTGTACTTGAAACGAATTGAGCTATTTTAGAGTTGGCTTGATTTCGGTTATTCCATAGGCACAACGATTAAAATATAGCAAAATTATGATACATCTACATACATATACTGACTAGAAGAAATCGTAGAAACCAAATGTGAAATCAGAGATGAATCAACAACGACATTAGTTTAAAGCAATTAGAATAGCAAAATCGCCGCATACCCAAAGTCTTTCGGTGCCGTGTGCACTTTCTTATAGCATTCATGAATGATTTCGAGAAATGTACGTGGCTCGAATATATACGTTAATTGCCAAATAATTCATAAGATTTTTAAAGTACCTGAAATTCCATTGACCCTACTGGAAGTCTAGTATTAGGTTAAGGTCCTTATAATGATATCACGTATTGCTGAATGCAGACGACTTCCTGTTTATTTTTATCTCTCCTGCACGACAAATGCGTGTTTCTACAAATTTTAACATTTCCATTAAAATAACCATTTACTATATAATACGAAAAATACCTGGTTCGGCTCGCCGAAAAGTAAATATATTTTCCAATTCGTTATCTTTGATATACCGACTAGGCAGATGTGCTAAATATTTGTTTAGCGGAGCTATCATTTTATAAGAACTTGGAATAGATAAACATGATTTTAGCATCAATCATTTGAATAAAACAATCACATCTAACTAAATCGATTTCGTGTCTTAATTTTAAATATCTCATGATTTTACAATTTAAATTATATAAATAAGTAGGGAAATAATTGAAAAGAAAGAGTCAAAAACAAAAATCATAGGAATTATAGAGTCTAAGTATATATAATTTACATACCAAAATGACCGACTGAAATTATTGTTAAAAGTTTTATGAACTATACTTGCATATACATATATTGATATGATCAAGTAAATTAATAAACAAAGAAATATATACATATACAAAGAATTCAGATAATATATTAAAGTTTCTATACCCTATTCAATCATAAATTTGCGATTCAATATATACATGAAAACCTAAATTTAATCAAAGACGAATGAAATCAAACTTGAAAGAAGCCATGAGGAGCATGCTTAAAGTCAAATGCGTTATTTAGAGCCCCATATAAGTGAAACAATAGTTTTGTCACGTGCATCAAGAAATAATAATTTTTTTTATATTATGAAGACAACTTACCTGTTTTTGTTAAAAATCCATAATTTTTAATTGGGAATTCTTTCAAAAGAATAGAGTATGATTTGGAAATGGCATATATTTAAAATAACGTCTTTAATATACCCAATAAAAACCGAATGCAGCTAAATAATAGTCACCACCCTAACCATTTATCAAAGCTAAATTTAACATTCTGGAATTTCAAGAACAATTTAATAAGAGTAACTTAACAAAAGTCGACTTTTATGTCGAACAAATATTGTTCTTTGGCCAAGGTTCTTGTCCATGAACTAATCATTCTCGCCCTGGCAAGTGCGAGTAAACAAATGCTGTAGGCGACTACCAGTATTGAACGAGTTAAATTGAATTATATTGCATTGTAATATGTTGTATTGTATTTACTGTTGAATTGTATTTTAATATAGAATGAGTTAATTTCCAATAAAGAGTTTTTAAAAGCATTATGAAAAATTCCACAAATACCGTATTTTATTTTCAGCACTGGGTGACAGTTTTTCTACCCTCACGGAGTCGCCCTTACCACCGCAAATCATTCTTTTCACATTTTTATTGTAGGACGCATTTATTGGAATTTGGTAAAACTTCTCCTTAACAATCGAAGCTGCTGTCGTTGTGCAGGCAGCATTGTTTAGACATGAAATTCCTAAGTGTTTGGAATTCGGAGATTCTCTGTGCCAGATGATTGTGCAGTCTTCCTTTCATCCTTTCGCTCTGACTTGGCTGTGCATTTTAGTCATTATTCCAATACCGTCCAAAAGTTCGTCCTAGCAAATAAAGTTGAATGAAAAAGGGGGACAACTTTGGAGCGTGCTTTAAATTCTGCAGACATACTTAACTTAATTAAAAAAGTTAATCGCTTGCGTGCTTTTTAATGCAACAAATTTAGTATAACTAAACATTTTCGAACTAGCATTCATACACTAATATAAATTGTTACCCTAAATCGCCCTCAAAAACTATCTTTTCGCCCGTGGACTTAAAAAATCGCCAATAAAAATAGGACCTATGCGATTCGCCCATTTATTTAGAAAAAGTGTTATAAAAAATCCCAATGGAAGTTTGGTTAAATTTTTCATGATTTTTCTTGAGTTAACATAGATTTTCCTGTTTTAAGGGTGATTTGCCCTAAAATTAAGGTGAATTTTACTAAAATTAGTGTCGAATTTTCTGTTTTTATAGGCATATTTGGGCATTGCTCGGCTGAATTTGGGAAGCATGTCTTAAAAAAAAGCATTTTTTTTAAATTTTTAAAAAAATGTTTTTCCAATAAATAAATGATCAATATTTTTTAGTGTATTTTTTCAGTTTTCTTCACCAGCTAAAAAGGTCAAAACCACTAAAAAATTAAGTTTGATTCATTAGGGAAAAGATAAAAAAAAAATTGGGCATCGGTCAAAGGTTTTTCGCAATTCGAATTTGTCGGTGGGCGCACAGCACAAATTACACTATGCAGCATCAAAAATGAACCTCGATGAATGCTATATTTTTGGATTCGTTACGAATTCCCAAGTTAAACTGCGTTTTCCTAAAAGTTCCCCGACGCAAGGATTCTAAGCAAAAGGACCTCAAAGTTCGAAAAATGCTGTAATTGACCAACTTTGCGGAGCTCTCAGAGGCAAATGGATGCATGGCTTGGTTCGAAGTTAATGTTTTTTAAAAGATACACTCTTTATCTTTCAAACGCCATACTTAGAATAATTTTAGGTTTTTTTTTAAGGAGAAACAAATTTTAGAAAACATAGTCAAAAACAAGAGAGAACGCTATAGTCGGGTTGTTGTCCCGACTATCTAATACCCGTCACTCAGCTAAAGGGAGTGCGAACGCTGTGTCGGGTTGGTGTCCCGACTAATAATCGTAACTCAGCTAAAGGGAGTGCGAGGGAGATAGA